CTGCCCCTCCTCCTCCTCCTCCTCCTCCTCCTCCTCCTCCTCCTCCTCCTGGTCCTCTGGGGCGTTCGGGAGGGTGGTGCGCCGGCCAGGACCTGGACGCGCTCCAGGAGGAAGTCCGCGGTGCCTCCGCGCGCGCGCGCGCCCAGCCAGCCTCACTGATTGCCAGCGCGCGGCGCCGGCCGCTGCCGGCCACTGCCGTTACCCGTCGTCGCCGCGGTCCACGGGCCTCCCGCGCCACGAGGTGAAGAGCCCCGTATCGGTTTGGGAGCAGTTTTTGAGCGCCTGTGAGGGTCTCTGGTTCTTCTTGAGCCTCCAGAGGGCGCCACGTCGCCACGGCTGGAGTCGCCCCCCAGATTTGTTCAGACTGCGCTCCGGGAGAGGTCTGGGGTTCGACTTTAGAAGGGAGAGGGAGTGGGGGGGGAGGAGGAAGAGGAGGAGGAGGAGGAGGAGGAGGAGGAGCAGGAGGAGGAGCAGGAGGAGGAGGAGGAGGAGGAGGCGGAGGAGGTGGAGGACTAGTGCAATCTCAAGACGCATAGGCGATGTTGCAATGAACCCTCCCTCTAAGTTGCCTCTTCATAGGCCACTAGAAGAAGTGATTTTCATTGCGGGAAGTGTTCCACTGGAAGGCAACCGCCTCAGAATCTGCAATCTTGCCAGAACGCAGTTCCTGGGACTTCAGCGCCGCGAATCGACCTGAGCGCTGCGTTCTTGATCTCCGAAATCGTTTCAGAACACCGTTCCTGGGACTGCAACGCCGCGAATCAACGTGATTGCGGCCTCTTGACAGTCTGAACTCGTGCCAAAACGCTTTTTACCATACGAATCCTTCAGCTGCTACACACTTTCAAGACGCATGTGCGCGGCGCTAAGGCGAGAGCCACATTTGGAAAAGGAGCCGCTCTAGGTCCTTGCAAGCAGTGCAAACTTTCAAGACGAAGTGTGCGGAGCGCTGAGGCGAGAGCCGTACTTCGGAAACCGTCCGCTCTCCATTCTGGAACCTGCTGCGCACTTTTTAAAACGAGTGTGCGCGGCGCTGAGGCGAGAGCCACACCCTGGAAGCTGCCCGCCCTCCATCCGTGAAGCTCCTGCAAACGTTTGAGGCGCATGCGTGCTGTGCGAAGGCGAGGGCCACAGTCCGAACAGGTGCCGCCATCCGTCCACGAAGCCCAGGCAAACTTTGTGAGACGGATGTGCGCGGCGCCGGTGCGAGAGCCACGTTGTGAACATGAGGCGCCCATCATCCGTGGAACCCTTGCGAGCTTCAGGTTTCAAGGTCACAGATGGTGAGGAGGTCTCAGGCGACACGGCGGGCCCGCCCTGCCCACAAGCCTGGGTGTGCGACATGGAGTTGTTTGTTTAAACTTTTATTTGCATTCTTTAAGTATTATATTTATAATATAAACAACAAGCCATTGCATTCTTTCAGTATTATATTCATATACAAGCAACAATTCAAAACACATACAACACTAGACTATACATATATAGATGCATATGTGGAAAGGGGGTGGAATCGGAGGAGGAGTTGGAGGAGGAGAAGGAGGATGGGTGGCAACGTCAGTGCGATTTTCATGCCGTCAGTGCCCCAGTGCCTCGGGAGGAGGATCAGCCTGGGATGAACTGCCGATCACGGGGAATCGAATGGTGATAGGCCGTAACATGAATGGCCGCAGACAATCTTGGCGGCATGCGTAAGGGGGTGGCGCGAGGGGGGGAGGCCATAAGGAGGCGAGGGGGGCTTCTTAGAAGGCAGGGGCCTTCCCAGAAGCGCCTGGAGGCTTCTAAAACGCCTTCTCAGAAGCCCCCAGGCGCTTATAAGAAGGTTCATCCCTTCTAAGAAGCCCCCCGCCTTCTTAGAAGCCCCCCACCTCGCGCTACCACCTCCTGGTGTGCGCCGCCAAGACTGAGACAGGCGCGCTCCCTCGCAGCCCTATCAAGCGCCAAGAGGAGGAAGCAACGGAAAAGCTGAATGACCGCATTTTCAAGCCTTGAGCGCACTCGCAAACGCAGCTGCGCCCCTCCCCCCATTTCCTGAGGCAGCGTGGGAGCAGTCAGAGTGTCTCACACCCCTGGGCCGAAGCCAAGCACCGATGGCCCGCCGTATGCAGAATGGTCAATGTCCCACCAGTAGGCAGCACTTCTGCTGCCCCCGCAACCTTCCCAGGTAGGACATCCCTATAGTTATGGGGAGGGGGAGGTGGGAGGAAGACGGTGGACGAGGTGGGGGGGGGACTGGGGCTCTCTGATGAAGGACCCTGACCACCCGGGAAGAAATTACTGCCCACGCCCTTGGGCGAGGGGCTATGAGAGCTGCCCCGGAGCGAATCTGGGGGTTCGTGGACAAAGTGAGGAGCGGAGGGGCCGTCGGACGCATGGTGAGGGGGAATAAGTAATAAATATAGGGGAAGAGGAGGCGGCGGGGGCAGGACGTAGGATGCAAGGGGGGAGATGGGCTGTCGAGCTTGGAGCGCTAAGACCACTGGGGAATCGAATGGTGAGGGTAACATGGATGGATGCGAGCTGGACGTGGGACGTACAGTGAGGGGAAGGGGTTGGATTGCGTTCGAGGGAGGAATGAGATAAGAATGCCCCAGACGAATGTTGATGAGTGAGTGGCAGTAACAGTGGGGAATCCAAATGGTGGTGGGTGGTGGTAGAGGGTATCCTCGGCAGGAGCGGGATGGACGTGGACTGCGCTTTGAACGTACCAGGGGAGGCCCACTCGAGACCCCTACAAAACTGCAACCTTGATACTGATCTGGCGGGCCTGGGGGGTAGCTTGCGCTGCAGACTTCGAACTTGTTGTCCTCGTGCCTGAGTCCGCTTGGGTACGATCGGACGGGGCGAGGACGAGGATAAAACCGTTCCAGAGCGTTAGGGAACGTTTTCGGAGCGTTCCCGAAAGCTCTGAGACGGCCGCGGTGCCCGAGACATCCTCCAGAGCCGCTAGATCTAAGATATTCTCTGCGTATCCTCACCCGATTGTATTCTCGTCCTGTCTTCATCTCATGCGGGGCCTGCCGCGGGCAGAGGCGGGCGGCGTCGGCGAGTCACGCCCCGGCCCACAGGCCACCCACGCCGCCGCATGCCCAGCCGGCCGTTGCGCCCGTAGGCCCCGCCAGTCGGCCGCGCGGGCGCCTCCCTTCCGATCCCTGCCCTCAGGCGCAACGTCGGGGAGGGGGGGGGTTGGGCTCCGGCCCGGCCTCGGTATGACCATCATGGGTACGGGAAGAAGAGGTACGAGGACTAAACAGAATTTCGCGCTCATTTGGAGCGGGACTCGCCGTCGGCGTCGCCGCGGACGTTGTCCATTTGAGACAGAGAGCCGCCGGACCAACAGCGGCCTCTGTCGCTTCTGGACAGCAGTTGTTGCTGGGCATCCTGCCCAGGCCTGCCGTTCCTATGTCAGTCAGGAGAGGGAAAAACACACAGACACAATTCATCCTCGATTCCCCAGAAAATATGGGAAAATATGGGAAGTGGGGGGAAGACAAAACCCCAGAAAGTATAGGAAGATATGGGGAAGATTTTTATTTGTGTGTATTTATTTGTGTGTCCTGGGGCCCCTTCAGTCGGGCGTCCAAACAGATCCCTTCGGGTCGTGACACAACTCGTGACGGAGGTGTCTCGCTCTCTTCGTGCTCGCGGGGCCTCGACCGGGGCGATGCGGGCTAGCGGCCCCGGGCCACCTGCCGAGGACGGCACGGTGTGGCGCAGATGCGCGGGGGGTGGCATCCGAGTAGCTGCGCAAGCGTACCTGGATGGATCGCTTTTCGAATGGAACTGGGATTTGGGGTCGGCTGGGGGGCGAGCCACCATTGAGGCGGTGACGGATTCCAAGTTCGTGTCAGACAGTGTGAGTGTTAGAGGCCCCGGAAGCACCACGGCGTACTGTGCTGCCTGGGCTGGCCTGAGGTGGGATTTCGGGGCGGCCTTACACGAGTTCGGATGTCTTGGGCCCACTGTGCTCACTGTCCGAAAGGTGAAGGTTCACTTGAGCTTCGAGGCCGTCGACCGTGGGCTGGTCTCGCGCCGATGCCGGTATAGTAATTTCCACGCCGATCTTTGGGCAAGGTACGCTGCGTATCAGGTACGTTTGCCACTAAGTTATCGCAAGAGGCATCGCTTGGCACAGGTGCTGGCTAAGGAATGTGGCCACTGGATTGCGCGGGCTGGCGCCGCGGTGAATTCAGCCGACGCCATCACGCTGCGCCCTGGGGCGAAACCGTCCAAGGCCAGGCAGCTGGTGGTAGTGTATACTAAGCTTGGCCATTAAATGGTTGGGCCTCAGGGGGCCGCGTGGCGCCTGAGGTGCCAGGTGTTTCGGCCCGCCTCCACGGAGTGTCCTGGGTCCTTGGTTTGTCGGACCGGAGGCGAAAGGGCAAGTTGTTTCTGGGGGTGGGGCTGGCCACAAGCTCGTCTGGTTGGCTACCCCCCGCGAGCACGACCACCCTAGTTTTGCGGCGCTTGAGTGCGCGAGCTGCGGGGCCGCGAGCACCCGCCAGCTTTTGGGCCTCCCCCGCCCCTGTGTGGTTCCTGGGGTCCATGGCCAACGCGTCATTCGGAGCATGGAGGAGATTTGCGTGGTTCAGGTGGTGGCGAACGTGGCTCCCGATCTAAGGGAAGCTCATGCATCGGGAAGAAGTAGAAGACGAGGAGGTGGAGGAGGAGGAGGAGGAGGATGAGGAGCCTAACGAGGGGGAGGAGGAGGAGGAGGAGGAGGAGGAGGAGGAGGAGGAGGAGGAGGAGGAGGAGGAGGAGGAGGAGGAGGAGCCTAATCTCCTCTGCCAAAGCCTAACCCGTTTTGGAGCCCTCCAAGAGAAAGATGCGGAGGAAGAAGAGTAGGAAGAGTAGGAGGAGAGGAATGAGGCAGGATGGATGAGGCGGACAAGGATTTCAGGATGGTTTTTGGGAGATTTGGGGTTTTTAGGATGTTCAAGGAGGGGGAGAAGGGGGAGGAGGGGGGGGAGGAGGAGGAGGAGGAAAATGGTGTCTCCCAGAGGACGTCTTCGCCCGCGACTGGGACACCGTGGTTAAGTACAAGGCTGACCTCAGTCCGCATCGTCGTCGTCGTCGTCGTGGTCTTGTTTGTTGTCCTCGTGGTCACCTTCGTCGTGGTCGTCGTGATCCTCATCGTGGTCGTGGTCGCCGTCGTTCTCGTCGTGCTGAGTCCCTCTCCAGAGTGAAGCTCCTGAGCACAATGTCGCGCTGGGCACCCGATACTTCATCATCAGCACCGCTGTTCTCAGTACCTTTCTTCTCCTCGCCCGTCCTCGTCGTCCTCGCTGTACTTGCTCTCTCCGCTGCTGCTGCTCCTCCTGTTGCTCCCTCCTCCTCAGTCCCCCCATCCATCGTCGAAGAGGAGGAGAAGAGGAGATGGGGAAAGGAACGCGGGGACCGTCTCTTCAAAACGAGGACCCAACACCACAGAATGGTTGGGAAAACACACCTACACAATTAATCGTCCATCCCCAGGAAAACATGGGAACATATGGGCAATGGGGGGGGGGCATACTAACGCCCAGAACTTATTTGGGTGAAGGACCCAACCATATGAAGTTGTGGGTACCGCAATTGTGAATATCTTCTTCGGTGAAGCTCCCTATGTGGCCACGAAGCGCTGCGCTGGGCGGGGGGGGGGGGAACGCATGCGGGCGGTAGCACTGGGGTCGTCGGTGAAGCTCCCTATGATGCCACGAAGCGTTGCGCTGGGTGGGTGAAATACTAACTTTGGCGTGTGGGACGCACGCGGGCGGTCCCATTGGGGGCTTCGGTGGAGCTCCCCATGGGGCCGCGCAGCGTTGTGACGGGTGGGTGGACATGCCAAATTGAGCGTGGAGGACGCATGCGGGCGGCCCCACTGGAGGCTTCGGTGGGGCTCCTTATAGGGCCACGAAGCGCTGTATTGGGTCGGTGAGCATGCCAAATTTGGTGTGGAGGACGCATGCGGGCGGTGGAGCTCCCTATGGGGCCACGGAGCGCTGTACTGGGTGGGTGACAATGCCAAATCGGGTGTGGGGGGCGCATGCGGACGGTCCCACTGGGGGCTTCGGTGGGGCTCCCTATGGGGCCACGAAGCGCTGTACTGGGTGGGTGACACTGCCAAATTGGGTGTGGGGGACGCATGCGGGCGGTCCCACTGGGGGCTTCGGTGGAGCTCCCTATGGGGCCACGAAGCGCTGTACTGGGTGGGTGAAAATGCCAAATTGGATGTGGGGGACGCATGCGGGCGGCACCACTGGGGCCTTCGGTGGAGCTCCCTATGGGGTCACGAAGCGCTGTGCTGGGTGGGTGAAAATGCCAAATTGGGCGTGGGAGTCGCATGCGGGCGGTCCCACTGGAGGCTTCGGTGGAGCTCCCTATGGGGCCACGGATCGCTGTACTGGGTGGGTGAAACTGCCAAATTCTTTACGCTTCGCGTATCCCCACCAGTCCATCTCAAAGCAGCAACTCTTGCGAAGCATGCCGACAGTCGTGTTTTTCAGGCGTGTTTCCGCCTGCCCCCGCATATCTCCCCTGTTCCTCCTTCCTCCCGCCTCCTTGTACATCCTCCTTGTGGTGGGAGCGGGAGAAGGACGAGGCGGAGGAGGAGGGAGAGAAAGCGCTCCTCGTGGTTTGAGTCGTTTGGGGTTTCTCGTCCTGGTGTGAGTCGTTCGGGCCCTTCTTCCTGGTGTGAATCGTTCGGGCTCTTCGTGATGTGAGTCGTTCGGGCTCTTCGTCCTGGTGTGAGTCGTTCGGGCTTCTCGTGGTGTGAGTTGTTCGGGCCCCTCGTCGTCGTGTGAGTCGTTCGGGCCCCTCCTCCTGGTGTGACTCGTTCGGGCTCCTCGTGGTGTGAGTCGTTCGGGGCCCTCGTCGTGGTGTGAGTCGTTTTGGGAGCCTCTTGGAGGCCTTTTGGGGCGTCTTCGGGGCCTCTTGGCGGCCCCAGGGGCTTCTAGGAGCGTCTGGGGTGCCTTGAGGGAGCCTCTTGGGGCCTCTTGGGAGCCTCTTGGAGGCCTTTTGGGGCGTCTTCGGGGCCTCTTGGCGGCCCCAGGGGCTTCCAGGAGCGTCTTGGGTGCCTCGGGGGAGCCTCTTGGGGCCTCTTGGGGGCCTCTTGGGAGCATCTTGGGGGCCTCTTGGAGGCCTCTTGGGGGCTCTTGGAGGCCTCTTGGAGGCCTCTTGGAGGGGTCTGGGGGGAATCTTGGGGCCATCTGTCGGGCGATCGATCACAGATGGGGTGAGCATTTTTCTCCCCCCCCCCGTCGGGGCCAGAAAACCTCGTGAGGGGTGTCGTTTTTTAGCCCTCCCAGGAGTCGAAAAAGACCCCTCCGGCGACCCGCGGTGGGACCTCTCCGGGCCCAGGGGAGGGGGTAGGGGGAGGGGTAAACCCCTCCCCGAAGGGGAAGAAGGGGGGTTGAGAACAGAGCGGGCTCTCTAAACCACTCACGCCCAGAGGGCTGGTGGGATTGGGTGCGGGGGACGCATGCGGGCGGTCCCACTGGGGGCTTCGGTGGGGCTCCCTATGGGGCCACGGATCGCTGTACTGGGGGCAATGCCAAATCGGGTGTGGTGGACGCATGCGGGCGGTCCCAGTGGGTGCTGGGGCTCCCTATGGGGCCACGGATCGCTGTACTGGGTGGGTGAAAATGCCAAATTGGATGTGGGGGACGCATGTGGGCGGTACCACTAGAGGCTTCGGTGGAGCTCCCCATGGGGTCACGAAGCGCTGTACTGGGTGGGTGCAACATGCCAAATTGGGCGTGGGGGACGCATGCGGGCTGTCCCCACAAGGGGCTTCGGTGGAGCTCCCTATGGGGCCACGAATCGCTGTACTGATTGGGTGTGGGGGGCGCATGCGGGCGGTCCCACTGGGGGCTTCGGTGTTTCTCCCTATGGGGCCACGCAGCGCTGTACTGGGTGGGTGACAATGCCAAATCGGGTGTGGGGGGCGCATGCGGACGGTCCCACTGGGGGCTTCGGTGGGGCTCCCTATGGGGCCACGAAGCGCTGTACTGGGTGGGTGACACTGCCAAATTGGGTGTGGGGGACGCATGCGGGCGGTCCCACTGGGGGCTTCGGTGGAGCTCCCTATGGGGCCACGAAGCGCTGTGCTGGGTGGGTGAAACGCATGGAAGAAGGAGGCGGGAGGGGAGGAAAAGGAGGAGGAGGAGGAGAGGAGAACAGGAGAGGAGCGCGGGGACCGTCTCTCCAAAACGAGGACCCAACACCACAGGATGGTTGGGACATGTGAGAAACTATGGGGAACTTTCTATTTGTGTGTGTATATAACATATCTATCTATCTATCTATCTATCTATCTATCTATCTATCTATCTATCTATCTATCTATCTATCTATCTATCTATCTATCTATCTATCTGTGTGTGTGTGTGTGTGTGTGTGTGTGTGTCCCAGGGCCCCTTCATAGGGCCCCAGGGGGCCCGCGCTCCGCCCGCCAGGTCCCCCCCGCATCGCTGCCCCCCCCCCACCTGTGGGGACGGTCGCAGGGGACCCCCCGAGCGCACACAGCTCGCGAGGCGTTCTCCCCGCATCCGAGCGGGATTCTTGTTTCTTCTGCCCCCCCCCCTCGCAGGATCTCCTCCTCCCCCTCCTCCTCCTCCTCCTCCGCCTCCTCCCTTCTCTCTCGCCCTCACTCACACATGTCATACACTCACACACCCACACACCCACACACTCATCATCACCACCACCACCACCACCATCATCATCATCATCATCATCATCATCATCATCATCATCATCATCATCATCATCATCATCATCATCATCATCATCATCATCATCATCATCATCATCATCATCATCATCATCATCATCACCATCACCATCACCATCACCATCACCATCACCATCACCATCACCATCACCATCACCATCACCATTACCATTACCATCACCATCACCATCATCATCACCATCATCATCATCATCACCATCATCATCATCATCATCATCAGCATCATCATCAGCATTAACACCATCACCATCACCATCACCATCACCATCATCAGCACCATCACCATCACCATCACCATCCCCATCCCCATCATCATCATCATCATCATCATCATCATCATCATCATCATCATCATCATCACCATCACCATCACCATCACCATCACCATCATCATACTCACTGCGGGGGAAGTCTCGAACGGGAGCCCCCTCCTATCGGGCCCGCACTTCATGTTGGTAATCCGAGTGGGTCATCGGCAAACTCTGCCAGACATACCACTTGAGCACCCCAAAGGGTCAATCGTGAGGATGTCTCGAGCGGGGGGCTCGTCTGTGAATGAATTGCGAGGAAGTCTCAGGCGGCAACCGCCTCATGGGGCCTGCACTTCATGTCGGCAATCCGACCGGGTCATCGACAAACTCCACCAGGCATAGCATTTGAGCACTTCAGAGGGTCAAATCTTGAGGATGTCTTAAGCGGGGGCCTCGTCTGTGAGTGACTTGCGAGAAAGTCTTAGGCGGGAGCCCACTTCTTATGGGGCCCGGATTTCATGTTGGTGATCCGAACAGGTCATCGGCAAATTCTACCAGGCATAGCACTTGAGCCTTGGGGCACATCGCGAGGATGTCTCAAGCGGGGGTGTCGCCTGTGAGTGAATTGCAAGGACATCTTTGGCAGGATCCCCCCGCCCTATGATGCCCGCGCCTTAGATTCATAATCCGAACGGGTCATCGGCAAACTCTGCCAGGCATAGCACTTGAGTACCCCAAGGGAACAACACATCGTGAGGATGTCTCAAGCGGCGGCCGCGCCTGTGAGTGACTTGCAAGGAAGTGTCAGACGGGAGCCCCCTCCCTATGGGGCCCGCTCTTCATGTTGGTAATCCGAGCGGGTCATCGGCAAACTCTACCAGGCATAGTGTTTGAGCACCCCAAAATGGGGGCAAATCGTGAGGCTGTCTCAAGTGGGGGCCTCGTCTGTGAGTCAATCGCGCGGAAGTCTGAGGCGGGAGCCTCCTCCTCCCAGATTTCATGTTGCTGATCCGAACGAATCATCGGCAACTTCTACCAGGCATCACACTTGAGCACCCCAAGGGGGCACATCGCGAGGATGTCTCGAGCGGGGGCCTCGCAGGTGAGTGAATCGCGAGGAAGCCCCCGCCCTAGGGGGCCCGCGCTTCATGTTGGTACTTCGAGCGGGCCATCGGCAAACACTACCGGGCACAGCATTTGAGAACATCAAAAGGGGGAGATCATGAGGATGTCTCAAGCAGGGGCCTCGTTTGTGAGTGACTTGCGATGAAGTCCCAGGCGGGAGTTCTCCTCCTCGTGGGGTCCAGATTTCATGTTGGTGATTCGAATGGGTCATCGGTAAACTCTTCCAGGTATAGCACTTGAGCACCCCAAGGGATGCAAATCGTGAGGATGTCTCAAGCGGGGGTCCCTCCTTATAGGGCCCGCACTTCAGATTGCTGATTGGGCTACTCTGGTTTGACTCTGCCCTCCCTGTAGGGTCCCCACATCCATGTTGGACTCCGAATTGGATCATCCAAATTGTGTTACAGCGCCATTTTTTGGCTCCCGAGGATTGGATCTGGAGGAAGTCTCGAACGGGAGCTCTGTCGGTGAGTGGATCGAGAGGAAGTCTCGAGCAGGAGCCCTCGGAAAGCATCCGAAGGTCCAAGGAACCACAGGAAGCTTGAGGAAGCCAGAAGAAGCTTCAGGAGGCCCTCGGAGGCACCAGGAGGTCTCAGAGGCCGCAGGAGGCCCCAGAGCCCCCAGGAAGCTCTAGGAGGCCCCAGGAGCTGGCCCCGCGACGTCTCAGGAGTACTCTGGGCCCTACAGTCCTGGGAGGCCCCAGGCGGCTCCAGGAGGCCCCAGGAGGCTCCAGGTTGCAGCAGGAGGCTCTAGGAAGAGGCAGTTTGCAGCAGGAGGCCCCAGGAGGAGGCCGGGGCAGGAGGAGAAGGAGGCCTGGCTCCAGGAGCCCCCAGTGGCTTCAGGAGGCAACGGGAGGCCCAAGGAGGTCCCAAGAGAAGGCAGGATGCTCAAGGGGGATTCGGGAGGAGGCTGGAAGAAGAGGCAGGATGAGGATGAGCATGGGCATGCGGGCGAGGATGGGGACGAGGACGAGGAGGAGGAGGACGAGGAGGAGGAGGATGACGAGGAGGAGGAAAAGGAGGAGCAGGAGGAGGCAGGAGGAGGAGGAGGAGGAAGAGGCAGGACGAGAAGGAGGATGAAAACGACCAGGAGGAGAAGGCAGGAGAGAGGAGGAGGAGGAGGAGGGAGGAGGAGGGAGGAGGAGGAGGAGGAGGAGGAGGAGGAGGAGGAGGAGGAGGAGGGAGGAGGAGGAGGAGGAGGAGGAGGAGGAGGAGGAGGAGGGAGGAGGAGAGGAGGAGGAGGAGGAGGAGGAGGAGGAGGAGCGCAGCAGCAGCAGCAGCAGCAGCAGCAGCAGCAGCAGCAGCAGCAGCAGCAGGCAGGAGGCGGAGGCAGGAGGCAGGAGGCAGGGGGCAGGAGGAGCCATGGGGAGGAGGAGGCATGGGGAGGAGAAGGGAGGAGGAGGCAGAACAAAGGCGCAGGAGGGTGTAGGAGGAGGGGGCAAGACGAGATCCTCAGGCAAGCTGAACATATTGTCATGTGGGGTTCTTCCGTCGGAGTGATGCTTATCCGCGACGTTGCAGTGCTTCCGAAACGTCGGACCTCGGGGTCCCCAGCATAGCAGAGGACGGCCCCTGGAGGAGGAGGGGGCCCCGCAGGCTCTTGGGCCGCTTTCGGCCTCCCAGTCGAGGGAGAGAAAGCGGCAACACGCAGAGACTGTCGGAGGCGCGCGCGGAACTCTCGGAGCTGCGCTTGGAGCCCTCTGTCGGCGCCGCCCGCCCCTAGAGCGCTGCGCGCGCCACTGCGGGGCTCCGGCGCCGATGCCAGGCATCCGCGCAGGCCTCCGAACACTTTACGACAAGTGTTCCTCCTGCGGGGCCGGAGGGCCCGGTTGGGGTGGGGTTTTGCGGCTCGGCAGGGGCGGGGGTCCTGCGCTCCCACGGGAGCGGGGATTGTCAGGCAGGCCTAGAGTGATGATAAGGCGCTTCAGAGCGTCCTGCACTGCTCTCCGAGCGTTCCAGGCGCTTCCGAACGGCCGCGTCGCCCGATACGCTCTCCAGACTGGCGGGCTCTCAGTGATTCCCGATCTATCCTCACCCGAAGTGGTCCTCATTCTGCCGTCGTCTTGGATGGACGTGCCCTGGGGGCCCATCCCCCCTCCCACCTCCAGCCTCGGTGGCATCTAGAGATCCATGGAGCTTCGGATTGTGGCCTCCATCCTCCCTGCTGTGTGAGCAGGCGTGATGTTGGGATGCAGGCGGCGGGAGGTAGTATGCGAGGGATGCCATCACATCTTTTCTTTGTTTCTCTCCCTCCCTCTCTCTCTCTCTCCCCCCCTCTATCTGTCCTTCCGCCGCCCAGCCCGTGCTGAACAAGTACAAGCCACTGTTCACGGATTACGTAGAGAACGTCTACCCTGGGGTTGGGGGCGGAGGGCAGGACGGCAATGTTGGATGAGCGAGGCCTTTCTGCTCCCTAACGCCCCCAACCTTCTCCTCTTTCGCCGCTCCCGCCGACGTGGCCTCCCTTTGCCCTCTTCGCTCCTCCCTCTTCCCCTCCTCTCTTCTGATTCTTCTCCGTTCCTCTTCTGCTTAGCTCCTTCTTCTTGATTCCCTCTGCCTTCCCCTTCCCCTTCTCCCCTTCTCGTTTCCCTCTGCCTTCCTCCCCTTCTTGATTCCCTCTGCCTTCCTCCCTCCTCCGTTCCTCGTCTGTTTAGCTCCCCCTTCTTCCTCCGCTCTTACTGACCAGATCTTTACTGCGAAGCGCAGTATGGAAATGCTAGAAACGGAGGATATGACAAGCGTGCGGGGAACCATTGCCATCGCTGAGGCAGTCGATCAGGAGCATGAGACCGACGAAGCAGGACTAGGAAGATGAAGACGATGTGTCATGTGGAGAAGTCGTACGACTGTCAAGCAGGACGGAACGAGCGGAGGGGGGACGAGGAGGAGGAAGAGCAGCAGGAGGGGAGGAGGAGGAGCAGGAGCGTTTTTTCCTACCCGTCGAGGGACAGTGCCCGAGAGGCTGTCGCCGCGGGCGGCGCGGGTCCGCTCCGCCGCCGCGCGGGAGGTGGACCAAGCCAGGACTTTCCGACGGCCTCCGCGATCACGCACGCCACGTCCGCGAGCGCAGCTCCACGCCGCCCAGCCGAGGCCAGGCAGAGGCCACCGACGTCCGGGGCGCAAGCCTCAGGGGTCCCCCGCACCAGACAGTCAACCATGATTGTAGGGATGGGGCAACTTTCCAAGGCTACCCTTGCACCCTTGCCCCTTCGGTATTCGGCATCCTTCGGCATTCTGCTGCGCTCCGCACGGAAAACGTCAACATGGCGTTCCAAGGCCCTTCCTTACCGCGCATCTTTGCTATCCTGGTCGAGGGTACTTTAGCCCCGCCCAGGTGCCGCGGAGCAGACCTCGTGCTGCTCCAGATCCACGGCGGCCTCCGTGCCCACCAACTTCTGGGCCTGGTCCTCGGGGCCCGTTGGGGAAGAGCACGCCGGGGCCGTCGATCGGCCGCCCCCCGGTCTGCTCCCTGTGCGCCTCCTTGAGCTCGGTCGCCTCCATCGCGCGGCCCAGCGCTGATGCCACCTCCTCGGCGCGAGCCGTGCACGCGCGAGGCTGGTCCAAGGCCGCCTGCTCACGCACCAAAGCATCATCCAGAGCGCGCTCGGCGCGCGCGTCCTCGGCGAGGGGAGCCGTCCCGCCAGCCCTGAGCTGCTCCAGCGCCGCGGCCATATCCATGGCATGCGTTTCGCAAGTGCGGACGTGCTTCTCGGCAGCGTGCCCATCTCTGCCCGCCGAGTCAAAGGTAAGCTGCAGCCAGCCGAGAGTCTCGCCTCCATCGCCTCCGCCTCCGCGTCGAAGATCCTCCTGGCAGCCTCGGGCGTCTGCAGGGGCGGCGCCAGAGACCACGCCGTCCTGGGCGACACCATCTCCACCAGCACCGACAGCAGCAGCGCCAACCACTCCATGCCGACGAGGGTCGGACGGCCCCTGATGGCCACCAGCACGGCGAACCTCAAGGAGTCGCTGCACTCCTGCACCGTCGACGCCATCCGGCTGGGCAGGGGCACCACCGCCGTCGGCGGCAGCAGCACGGGCGTCGTGGGGCGGACCAGGCAGCACCCGGCCCCGTGCGGCGCCGAGCCTGCACAGCTCCCGACCGCGGCGGCGGCCCATCTCCCCGAAGGACTCGACGAGGTGGATGGCCGCGCGGCCCTCTGCGCGCGCCGCTCGCTGGCCGTCCGATTCGGGCGGCGCGGCCGCCGCCCGGCGCAAGGATCCGGGTCCTGCGGACTGGGTGGGGGGCGCGGGGGGGCACGGCCACTCGCGGAGAGGGAGGACGGAGGCCCAGGGCGGCGCGCGCGAGGGCCGGTGGCGCTGGCTTCGGAAGCCGGGGCTCCAGAAGCTGGCGCCAGCAGCAGCAGGAGGGGGAGGAGGAGGAGGAGGAGGAGGAGGAGGAGGAGGAGGAGGAGGAGGAGGAGGAGGAGAGGAGGAGGGGGAGGGGGAGGGGGAGGAGGAGGAGGAGGAGGAGGAGGAGGAGGAGGAGGAGGAGGAGGAGGAGGAACCAGCCGTGCCAGAGCCAGGAGATTTTTACCGTCCACCTCTCTTTTGCTGCCAGGGGATGGGCTGTACCGTCAAGACGCTTACAGAAGGACCACTTTGTCTTCAGGAGGGGCTCTGGCTTTAAGGCCGTTCCGTAGATCCAGGACGGGGAGGAACCTATTCGTGGCCGAGGCTCGTCGTTGTCAGAAACGCGATTTCATAGTATCGCTGTTACTGTCGGACTAAGTCCTTGGCTGTCAGGGCTTGGCTTGCTGATGCATCTTAACGATGATGTCAACCGTACAAGCGGGAACGTGACGCCACTGGTGATGCATTAGCGGCAGAAGCGACGGTGCAGTAACGGTCTTGCTGGGTTGGATCGCTGTGACATGTGGGCAGTCTACTCCCGTGGCAGCTGCGAGCCGCATCGCCATGCGCTACGAGATGGGCAAGTTTTTTGCGGCCGTGAACGGAGTCGACCAGGCACGCAGACTGATCAGGGCGGGCAGGCGGAAACTCAGGGGGACCTCAGAGTGGCCAAGAATTTGAGGCCCCCCCAGGTATTTGTGGTTGTTCGCCGTGGGACCCCTAGTAGAAAACAGCACGGAGACAGGATTGGAGAGGCAAATGACAGTACAAGCACCACATTGCAGCAACCAGGCATGATCTTTCACAATCATGCGCCCCGGGGGGGGCTGCCGATGGTGATGCACACAAACATAAACATGTACACATACATTTGCATTCAGAAAAACATGTATGTATGCACATATCAATGCATCTACATATGCGTGCACACACCAATGTATGCAAATGTGCGTGCACATGCACATATGCATATACATGCACACACTCATTTGCACACACGCACACACATGCATACATCTGAATCTATACACATACCCACACATACACACAACAATGTGTATACACATATACATACACACATAATATATATATATGTATGTATGTATGCGCACGTGATCCCCAAAACAGCGCTTGTACCTGGGGGCAATTTGTTACTAGGGGACGGTCTGTCTGTCGGTCTGGCTGCTCTGCTGCCGCCGTCGCCGCCTCGTGGCCGCCCGTCGTCTGGGCCTGTCTGTCGGGTCGCCGCGCTTGTTGCCGCTGTGGCCGCCCCGTCGCCGCCTCGTCGCCGCCCGTCGTCCGGTCTGGCGGCTACGTTGCCGCCGTCGCCGCCCCGTCGCCGCCCCGTCGCCGCCCGTCGTCTTGGCCTGCCTGTCGGTCGCCGCGATGGCTGCCGCTCTCGCCGCCCCGTCGCCGCCCACGTAGATTGCACAACATGCGTTGCGCCACATGGGTTCTCCTTGCCGAGAGAATCTCAGGATCTACCCCCGCTCGGTCTTGCTGCCTCACCTTCTCGTATGGCAATTGGCATCTGATTCTGCCCCATCGTCCATCCCAAGTATGAATTCATACCGTTCCAGGCAGTTCCTCATGGATCCCCCCGCCCTCTGCAACAAATATCCGTAAGGGCTTCGCCCCCTGCCGCCGGCCCCCTCTCTCGGAGAATGGGCCATGGAAGAGCTAAGTCATGAGGCTTTGGCGCTGTCGTGCAGCAGTATCGGAACTTCATGCGAGGCCGATTCGCAATCGGCAAAACCAACTGATCACAAGAGGGGTTACCACACAGGGCGATTGGTAAGACGTGTATGGTTTACGAGCTTGGTTACCACACCTTGGGATTACAGGGCCGAGGGAGTACTCGCAGTTTGGGTTACCACGCCTTGCGATGGATGTGCGTGAGGGGTGGCACCGAATTTCAGAAATGTGGCAAATCCCCTGTGTTTTTGGACCCTGACCCCGCGGATCTGCGTGAGGGGTGGCACCGAATTTCAGAAATGTGGCAAATCCCCTGTGTTTTTGGACCCTGACCCCGCGGATCTGCGTGAGGGGTGGCACCGAATTTCAGAAATGTGGCAAATCCCTTGTGTTTTTGGACCCTGACCCCGCGGATCTGCGTGAGGGGTGGCACCGAATTTCAGAAATGTGGCAAATCCCTGTGTTTTTGGACCCTGACCCCGCGGATCTGCGTGAGGGGTGGCACCGAATTTCAGAAATGTGGCAAATCCCCTGTGTTTTTGGACCCTGACCCCGCGGATCTGCGTGAGGGGTGGCACCGAATTTCAGAAATGTGGCAAATCCCTTGTGTTTTTGGACCCTGACCCCGCGGATCTGCGTGAGGGGTGGCACCGAATTTTAGAAATGTGGCAAATCCTTGTGTTTTTGGACCCTGACCCCGCGGATCTGCGTGAGGGGTGGCACCGAATTTCAGAAATGTGGCAAATCCCTTGTGTTTTTGGACCCTGACCCCGCGGATCTGCGTGAGGGGTGTCGATTTCGAGCCCCCCCAGCAATTCAGACAACGCGCCCAGGGGGTGCTAAAAATCCCGTTTGGGCCTCCCCCCCCCCTCGCGCGGTCAATCAACTAGTTACAGTAACCAGCAAGAAGCAGAACTGTAACACTGGAAACTACAAGCTACAACTGGTATTGGAAACTGCGAACCCGTGCCTCGCAGCCTGGTGGCCCCACAAGGGAGCCGGCGGATTAGGCGTAGGCACGCAGGGACCGCCCAAGATAGCTTCCTGGCGGCTCGAAGATGTCCTCCAAGAGGGGCCCCAAGAGGCCGACATCGTTCCAATTCTGTTTTCGACTTACATGTTTAGCAGATTCGCTTACTGGTCTTGACAGCATCCAAGACGGTCCATGCCTCCCAAGATCGCCCCCGAGGCGACGCTAGAGGCCCCCAAGGAGGCCCCAAAACGGCCCAATAAAGACCCAAGACGGCCCAGGAGGCGCCCAAGTCGGTTCAAGAGGGCCCCAAGATGGGCCCATGAGGGAGAATTTGAATTGAGAATTCGAGCTCAACGCGCCAAGCACCTTAGAGATCGCCAGCAGGCCTCCAGGAAGTCCCAAGAGGCCCACAGCGGCCCTACGAGGCCTCAAAATGGCATCCACGAGGCCCCAAGTTGGTTCAACACTACCTCCAAGAGGCTCCTCAGCGGCTTCCCCAGAGACCCCAACATGCATCCAAAGGGCCTTTGGCCCACAATCCGAGCTAGGTGGCAAGATGGGCCGAATTCCTCTCCCTGATCGTAATGACACCCAGAAGGATGATAACACGAACAACTTATGATACATTCCAGTAGCGGAAGACACAATTTGGCTTTGCGATTGGCCCAACCCTATGTATGCAGTTGCCTCTCGCGCAGGGCGCGGCCCTCCTCTTCAGTCTAGCGACAAGAACCCTCCGACTGCGCCAACGGACACAAACAATGCCTCCAACGCAGGACAAAACGACGCCAACCAGCTGCCAAGTGGCTCGAAAGACAAGCGAGGCCCTGAATAGGACTCCTGAGAGGCTCCTGCCTCGTGATGCTGCTGATTGGAGTCCTCCTCTCCAGCTCCTTCTTTTGTTCCCCCCCCTCTGGCTGCTCTTCCTCTGGTTTTTCGAGGTGTCGAGTTCAAATATACACCTCGAAAGCAGATCATTTGCGGAGGGCCGACTTTCGAGGTTTTGAGGTCCAAAGGTGCGATCATCTTCCCATACCCCGTGTAGAGTTTATGTTCAATCATCGGGGTACCATGTTTTTGGAAGCTCATGGGTCCAACACTGAAGCTCTCTCGAAGTTCGAGGAGGAGGAGGAGCAGGTGGGGGAGGAGGATGATGAGGTCCGTAACCATTTTGGCTCAAAGCGTCGCCACCCACCCACCTCGAACCGCCCCGCCAAAAGTGGCCCGAAGCGGTCGCCCAGGAGTTTGCCACGGCGACACCGTTTTTTTTTTTTTGTGCCCTCCTCTCCATTCGGCTGCGCTCTCAGTCCATTGTTTGGCGCACCTCTTGCAGTGCCATGACAACAGGGTGGCGAATGGCTCGCAGCAGAGATCACGGCCGCCCCGTCATTCCCCTCGCAGGCGGCAGCAGAGGTGCGCGCAGCAAGGCGGCTCGTAGCAGTTATGATGTAGGCTTTCGTCGCCAGCAGGTGGTGGAGATAGAGCGGGCCATGGGCGCCGCCGCCACAGGATTGCAGTCCCAGGTTGCCACCATCAACGCAGGTTTGCAGAGTCTCTCGGGCAGCGTCACCACTTGTTTCGAGGCCATTTCCAATCAGGTCGAGTCCAGGGTCGCCAATTTCGAGGGTACAGTGAAAATCCACGCCTTGGAGGTCAACCAGTTCAGGATGCAGATCGGCCGCCTTTCAATTTTGTCGGGGTATATCAAGCCGAACAACCCATCTCCAAACCGTCCGATCAGAACCTCACCAGTGATATCGACCCGACCATGTTCGGCAGTTTGATCACGGAGGTTGGTGCCCAGGCATAACATCCCCACCATGCTCGGACCGTGGCCCGAGAGAAACAAGCTCACCCCCCAGCGACATCGCAATCGACTGGGTGCCCCGCCAGTGTGATGCTTTCCAACAGGAGCGGAGGCGCTCGCAGCAGTGGCGAACGCAACTTCACCGATGCCTGGGAGGCCTGAAACTCGCTTGTGGTCAAGCAGAGAAATTTTCTACAGAAGTCGGCGGCCAGCGCGCCGAGCTCTTCGTTCCTGGGGGTAAGAGCAGTCGCCAGGCACGGCGGAAACTGCCTTTCATTCTCACAGCTGCGCCCAGCGGCCGACGTCTTCGGTGACGAGCGCAAAGGAGAGTTCCGCCGCGTGTTGACGCAGCTGCGCCTGGGAGCCAGGGCAGGAAGCGCGCGGCGATGCCGCGCAGAGCGTCGTTGACGCTTCGCGGAGCGGCGCGCCAGTGAGCGGCCGCGTCTCGCGCGGCGGCGATTTCTATGGCCGCGATGTCCAGTCCGCGCGCAGGTGCGGGGGTTCCTCGCGGAACAGGAACGGAGTTCCCGCGACGTTGCCGTCCGGCGCGATGGCGATGCAGAGCGGGCACAGGATGACAGCCTTCGTCTGTTCGGGGGCCCGGTCGCGCGACATTGCCGCGACGCCGCCGCGCTGTGGGGGGGCGAGGCAGAGCAGATCGAGAGCGCGGGCTAGCGAAGCTTCCGCGACGTCGGAACCCAGTGGGGGGCCGAGGCGGAGGAGGCAGAGGGGGCCTATGGGGGCCGGAGGGGCAGGGGCCGACGGTGCTAGCCGCCGCGTTGGTTCATGCATTATTATGGCCCAAGCAATGGAGGCCAAGGAGCGAGACGGAGGCCCGGGGGGGCGCGCCGGCGGATCCGCCCAGCTGACTGGCGGGCCCGCGATCGCGAACAGTAGCCCTGCGACCCGCGGAGAGGGCGGTGGCCGGCGCCGCCGCGCCTGGCCAGAGTCTGCCGCGGGCGGCGCGCAGGAAGGGTTGCAGGGGGGGTCGTCGGGCGCCGGGCAGGGGGGCGGCGCCTCCAAACAACGGGGATTGTCTGACCGCGCGTGGGGGCGACAGTGAGGCGGCTCGCTGGACTCGCGCGGTTTTTGCAAGCGCCAGGGGCGCCGCGGCGCCCAGCGGGGCGGGCTGGGTGCTTC